CCAAAAAGGGGCGAGCCGCAGCCAGCCAAAATGCCTAACGTTGCCTGGCCCAGTTGCCTGGCAGGTGAGGTGTGCGTCTGAAGCAGAATGCAGCTGACGGCCACACCTAGAAACGGCACCTTCGCCACGGCGACACTCCGCATCTGCTTGGGCAGAAAGCGGCAGCTTCGCCACGGCGAAACGCTCTGGATCTGCTTGGCCTGGGCAACTGTTTCACCCTGCGGTGTCCCCGGCGCCGCCCCGCCTGGGCGTCAGCTAGGCAGGGGTCGGCGGATATAGTCTAGTTAAGTTGCTACGATCCGAAGAACGTTTTCGCTTGGTGGCAGCTCCACTTTCACTCGGCAGCTACTTCCGGAAGACCCCCCAGCTGCAGCATACTTCGATGAGGACGATCTTTACGGAGTCCACCATTGCCAAGAATCCAGGCGTCGGACGAGCGATGAGGATCCCTAGAAGGCAGAAGAAAGAGGACCCCGTGGCTGGCACGGTGAAACCATGTTTTCCCTTTTGTTCAGACGACTAGTCCCATCACAGAGACAGAACGCTCAGAAAGGCTCGTAGCAGGATCAACCCTTGAGATGTAGTCCTGTTCAAATTGCCCACCATATCCATATCCCACAGGTTAAAGTATATAATATACACATATATATGTATATAATGTATATTTATAGAATAACGACCAGGAATCAGTCCCATTGCAATCACTATGTCTTACAGAGGTCCCTTGTTGACCTTGATTTGACCGTGACATGTTTATCGAAATGGAGGCATGAATGCGCCAGGCTTTAGGTCCAGCCTCAACCTTTGCAAGCATATGACTCTTCCAGCTCGCCCCAGGCCCTGGGACCTACCATCCAAAGGAGCTGGGCTCAGAGCCTGCGCCCGGGCAACCCGAGTCGAACGACCGGGATTGGACCGGGATCGGACGGACCCGGGTGTCTGTCGGTGCCCAACTCCTCAAGTCGAGGTTAGAGATGCAGCCCGCGGTGAAGCCCATCCTCAAGGCTGCCGGAGAAAAGCAGTCGGTGTAGGTGTCGGTGTCGTCGTTTGTTGGTTTTTGTTTGACAAAGAGAGGGAAAAAAAGAGGTGCGCAGAAACATGCAGAAACATAGAGAGTAAGTGCAGATCCTTTTGGTTTAAAACTCTACTGTGCCTTGACCGGTAGACGGAGTTTCTTGGGAACCTTTTGCTTAAGACTTTGCTTAAGATTGTTAATTTATGCAGATTGTTTGATTTGTCCACTTTGGTCGCCTTTTTGGCTGGTTCTACCAATTTCCAGATGGTCAATAGGTTCTGTTTGTTCCATGATGCAACGGATTGATTCGTCATTTCAACGTGATGAAACGACATAGCAGTCTGGCTGGGGCCGGTATGGGAGACGACTGGGGCTAATGGAGCGAAGATCACGAAATAGGGAGGTGGCAGAATGCAGATAGGTTTGTATTCCACTAATGCTGGACCTCAAAATCATCAACTCCCCCCACTCACTAGCAAACAACCTAAGGGAGGGTGAATAGAGACATCCCCACCAAAACAACCCCTCCCTCCCACTTGATAATTTGGGTTTTGATTCTACAACTTCTGCAGGGTGGGTGTGCGAAATGCCGTTCTTGCCGACTGTGGGTTCAGTCCTCGACTGTGAACTTCATCAGCCAAAGTCTCAGCATCCTGGGGATAGTTGACCTGCCAAAAACATGCTTCGCCACTCGCCACGGACGGCTTTCTTGACGGACGGCGGTGTGAGGACCAGGAGAAGACCACACCGTCGATGCCACCCATGAGGCGTTTCTTCGGTTCGCTGCACTGACAGCGGAAGCTTTGCTGTACGTCAGCACCAGACTCACCTGCTGGTTTATAACATGATTTGACAAGATTCGATCACAGAAACGGACCCTAATTGCTAATTACTCTATTCCCAACCCGTGATCGTTGACATGATTGCTTTCGGTGACCTTGGAAAAGCAGCCGTTGCATCAACGATTGGTTCAGAACTCTTCTGTTGCATCGACATGTGGCGCGACTTTCTGTCCTTGGTGTTTCCAGATGTTTCCAGAATCTCAGAAGCACATGTGTGTGCGATCGCGCGTCCTCCTGAGTCCTCCTGTCCTTGTTTGCACAGATCTGCCGCCGAGGATCGGTCGGTGGGCCCCACGGGACTCCCAGGTACTTACCAGGCCAGGTTCCCATGACGGAGGCCGCGGCCGCCGACCTCTCGAAGTTGTTGGGAGCCTATCAAAGCGCCAGCAAAGCGAGCGAGACAGTGTGTGTTGCGAAGAAGGCCAGGAGACGGAACTTGTCTTGCGAAGTGTTTAGTTCGCAAGAGTGAGATCCCTAATACTTCTCCTTCTCCTCTGATCCATGTTTGACACAATCCCTAGATGGTTTTGGCACCACTTGGTACATGGGCTGGACATTCGGAGTAAGATGAAATTCATGTCGCTTCTTTTAACTTAATGATTGTGGTGAACGTCCATTCGGGACCATTCTCCTTAATGGAAGGATTCCCTCTTCAGGACCAGTAGGGCTGAAGCACCAGCCAAGATATTAGTTAAGGGGAAGGCTGACTTGGGAGGGATGACTCAACTCGCTAAAGACTACATAGTTTTGCAGGGAACACCGACCAAGTATCTTGCCCACTTGGGCCCATCAAAAGGCTTCATTCATAAGCCCAGTGGTGGCCATAAAAGTCATCGACTGGGAAAGTCCTGATTGAACCTTGTCCAGTGGGCTATTGGTGTCATTTGCTTAAAGCTAGTCTCTTCCTTTTTGTAGGTGTTGACCAGGATACTTGCAGAAAAAAACATATATATATATATATAGAAAATATAGATACGGTAGATAGATAAGGATAGAAATAAAGAAAGAAACACATAAAGAAAGAAGTAATAAACTAAATAATGAAAGAAAGAACCATGGATGGATGGATGGATGGATGGATGGATAGATGGATAATTAGATAGATTCATAGATAGATAGATACCCTGAGGTTCAAAAGGCGATAAAAACAATGTCTGTTGACATGAAAGCACATGTCCAAAATGATCCTCCCCCCCACCAGTTGTGTGATGACTCTTTTTCTCATGACGGGCCCCGTGCCATCCGCAATGCCACTGATCGATTGAGCATACATGACACAGACCTAGCACATTCCACTTATCATAGATGCATGCCATGCCAACTGAGCATGAATTGGCATGATGACCTTCGGATGGCGCTGAGGTCGAGCCGTCACACGGGCGAGCCGGGTGATATGGCGCGGGAGCTTGGTGTGAAGCTGGTCGCCGTTACGCCGATGACGGACCGATCTTGTTCCATGTTACAGGAGCTAATTGGGTTTGTGAGGGTTGGTGCATTCAACATACCATGTCAACTGAATTCAGCTCATTCACTTCCAAGACGCTCTCTCCAACATTCGTTCGGATGCGGATCATGTATAAACAGGCCCTGGAAAAACAACATAGAAACATTATTGCTATGTTAAATTAATGAACAACATTTACATCAAGCCCAAACGGGCCTGTTCTAGCAGTTTCTTGGAGAAAAGGATAGCTTTTGGACACCTGAAGAACAAAGAAGCTACTAGGAGCAAAGGGCATCGCTACTAGGAGCAAGAAGCTAATAGGGACTCCTGGCCTTACTACTAGGAACAAGAAGCTACTAGGAGCAAGAAGCTGGTATATGAGTTTCTTTCCATCCTTGACTCAATCCAGCTCCCATACCGTCCAGGCAGGGCCTGGCACTTACGAGCTCCAGTCCCGGTTGCTGCTTGAACCGCATGGGGAGCGGCAGGTTTGGACTGCAAGTTTAGACGTGTCATGTCTTTTGAAACAACATCAGTAGATTGAAACATTTTGTCCCAAAACAATGAACAGTTAAGAAGTCTCCAACTGTATCTGGAGATGACAGAAGTGGGTCAGTTGGGGCCAGGTTATTCTTTTCAGGTACACCTCTCGTTCAGTAGTACGTGTCTTTGTGTGACAATCCCCTCAACACTTGCTACTTCAACCTCAAGCGCCCCTGTTTGGGGCGCGGCTACACTGCTACCGTGGTTCATGTCCATGGTGAGTTGGGCCGCGAATTGCATGCACGATGTATCATTTATGTATGGTGTTTTTTGTTTAATGGCTTGCTGCTGCTGCAAGACATCTCTCTTTGCTTGGTTGTTGGACTGGAGGATGCCCACTTGCATGATGGTCATCGATGGTAGAACACTGGATATGTTGTCGTCCAGCTGATGTTGAACTCGCTACAGAACACTGTTCCTGCCTAGAATCTTTAACGTCAGGACCATGTTAAAAACTCGGCTGGGCAAAATCATTGGTACAACGGTACAACATAACATTGTTTTTATCCGAATCTCCCTCAATGAGTTTGCATTTGGACATTTGATTCACTTTGTATTGTCCTTTTATAGTAGCACACCGACACATTTGTTTGAGCATCATGAAGAAAGTGAGTGCAACAAAACCTGTGCCTCACAACATGGCCTGTCATTTGTGCGACACACCTTCGCCTCCTCAAACCGGAGCGAAATCGCTTGCTCTAAGGATCAAAGACAGCCCCGTCCCTGTCTTCAGAAAGCCGTCTAACCGGCCTGTGAGAAGTTCATCCCATTCGTGGTTTTTGCCTTGCGCTATGTTGGATGGGTGGAACTTGCATGTTCATAATAGAAATTCAGTGATCTATCCTATCCAGAACCTGTTTTTGGTTGGAACTTGCATTCTTAGAGGGGAACAACACGGAACAGATTCTACCCTGAACAGTTATTGTCGCATTTGCTGGAAATGTGCGTATGTTACATGAAGGCGTGTGTGGGACTTGATGTGTTACGGGCTGATGTTTAAAGCAGCTTTCGAACACAAATCCCGGGTAGGTGTTCAGATGGTACCAGGACAGGCAAAGATGTTTCTACATCCAATCATTTTGAACGTGGAGCACCCAAGCTACGTTTTTCAGTGATATGGATGTTGCCTGATGTTGGATTACATGCTGTACATGCTCCATGCCCTCAGATGTAAAGGGCTAGGTATCATCACCAACATGCTTTGATGCTGACGCTGCTCCAGTTCGACAGGCCTGGACGTCATTTCCGAAAACTATGGGAGGCTTCCGTACGGAGCCCAGGACTTGTGATTTGGAAAGGTTTTAGGTTGCTGTTGTATGTTTTTGCACAGATTGGGTGGTCTTAGATTTTTTAGTGCCTGACTTGATTGGGTTTCGGTCCTGCATGGATTCTTGCAGTCGATAACTCGTCAAACGGCAGCTGAGGCGGCCATTGAGTCCAAGATGCCTCCAAAAGATTTGCCTGGACCGGGTGCATACGAACCTGAGGCCTGATTTTAGGATGGATTACAACTAGTGGAGAAACAGTGGTGGAACATTGGAAGGATGGGTGTCAATTGCCGTTTGGTGCGGCTGGCAATCCGGACGTAAAATCTACGGTCATGTCCGCATGTTGATTCGGGAGAGACCCTTTCGTGCGTGAAGGTCGCAACCTAGTGACCTAGTGTATAGTCTCGTATCCAGTTCTGTGGTCAAACAAGTGCTGGGTGGGCCGATGCCGGCACACGTAGATTGCAACAGTGAATGAGGAAGTGACCTACACGATGTTACTCACATTTAATCGGTTTGGAATGCTTTATTGGATGCTTCGTCACACAGCAATAGAATGTTGGAGAATAATAAGAAGACCACCAAACGCCAAGTGGATGGGGTGGTTTAGACAAGGAACTTCTGGTGAATTTTATGCCGCCAAGGCTAGAGGAAAGGAGAGTTTGTCCACATGTAGACTTTGGTCAGAAGTACCCTGCACATTTTTTACAGGTAAAACATGCTAAGTGGCAACAGGTGGCAATTGAATCCCTTTACGGACTATTGGATGGGGTGAGCATCAATAGCCAACCCCAACAAGAAAGACCGTTCAATAGGCTACCGAATCTTCAACATGACACCCATCGGTTGCATATCTTTGTGCTGTTGACCTTTTCCTCTCTCACCTAACATCCGCCGATGTGCCTAGATCATCGTGCGGCTCCAAAGAGACATCAAAGCGAAGCCCAACAAACAACCCCCCTCCTTCTTCAGGTCAAGGACTCTGCGAAGGGCGCGGCCAGTCAGTGTGGTTCTCAGATTTTAGATGCCCGGTGGTTCTCGTATCTACATCCAGTCCAGTGACAAAAAGTCCTTTTGCTTGGAACGAAGATAAGTGGCCGTAATTTTTGTCTAAAGGCCAAAGCCATTACCCACCATTACCTGCAGATGCCATGTCATTACAAAAAGAGAACAAGTCTTGCAGGTGTGTGTTGATATGAATGATTTGTATACAGACTTCCCGAGCCCTCAGAATGTGATGTCAGCGCTCTTCTGGTGGTGTGATACGTTGTTTGTGTCCGGGCCCTTTAGTAGAACCTCGGTTGCATCACTGCCAATGATGCTTCCATATCTTCCATTCTCCAAACAGTTGAGGAAGGCTCTTCATCCAAGTCATGAATGCTCAAAACACTTACACAACGCATGTCAAGTTGCTGAATCAAATGTGATCAAAACCACTTCACCACCTCTGGAATTCACATGAACTAGGTGCTGCATGCTGCGCCATGCTGCGTCGTTGTTCCTTCGGTGCGCGGTGCTCGGCGATGTATTCCGCCGCGGGTTCGTGCGGTCGTCCACCGCAGCTGAGGTTCAACTCCAAAGTGCCAAAGATACCCAAGGACAGCTCCAAGACACCGGGCCCAGGCGACACGAGCGTCGCGTCGCCTGTTTTCGGCGTCGGGTGTTCGGCGCCGGTTTCGTCGTTTTCGGTCGAAGGTCTGGTGAGGGAGGCAGCGGCTGGTCGGTGTGTCCACCGAGAAGAAAGAACGCCCCAAAGCTGAAAGGCATTGGAAAGCAGAAAAGAGTAGAAAAAGAAAAACAACTGTATGTGATTAGCAGAAGTCAGATTCGAAGACACTAGAAAAAGAGCAGCTGAATTCTGAATGATGTGTTCTTTGCTGGAAAGGATCCCTTCTCTTGAGGTTCACCTTCTCAGGATCTCATCCTTATCATCTCTTGAGAGATGTCGATGTCTCCTGCATGCTCTCAGACCGACCTCAGGTGCCTATGATGTGCTTGGGCACATTGAGAAGGCCTCTGCTGAGACGCAGGACGCGGAACATCCACATCAGCACAGAAGACCGGAGAACACACGAGGGATGTGCCCCCGGAGGATGGGGGTCGGGTTCGCGAGGTCGATGAACGAAACAGAAACATAAAGAAACATGTAGACAGGGTTTGTGGTAGAATCCGACGAATGGCTTGGGGGTGTCCAATTACCTGTAACAGTCAGTCAACAATTACAGTATCACTACTGGAGTTTTAGAGAGAGAGGCCTTGGCTAACCATCATCATCCACTGTTACAGGGAATAGAACATACCATGATATACCCCAAATAGAGTAGAGCAACAATATGCAATATATTTCAGTCCTTTACCTGTGATGTCCAGTCAGACCATGCACTCAAAACTTCATCTCGCTTGATTGCCCAAGACCATGCAGCGTGGAAGACAAGACCAGCATGGACTTTCGACCACTCAACTTCCCCCCCCACCTCGGTTTGGAAGTGGCCAGGAGCGATGTGAAGCGATGTCTTTGAGCAGGGGCACGGAGTGGGTGGAGAGAGAGAGAGAGAGGGGAATTTTTTTCAGCTGACCCAACAGCCTTTGGTCGGGATATGGGGATGGTGGGGATGGTGGGGCTTGGCTTTAAGTCCAAAAGACGTCCTAGGAGTTTCAGTGTTCATGAAACCTGATTTTAGGGCATCGATCGTCGCAACAGAAACATACAAAAGCAACTTAGACACTGGGTCTTGTGCAGTGCCTCCGTGCGCCTCCCCAAATAGGGATATACACATTGTTTTGTTTAAATAATCGTGGACATATTATATTGTAACATTGTAGATTCAAACAACATGATGATGTTCAATCAACAAGGTTCTTCTTCTTCATTGTGAGTGGTCTTTGTTCAAAAACTTCCCCTGAGCGGAAGCGAATGAGGCCTTGGCTTTGGCTCCCTGACGGAGCGCGTGGGCTGGCCTGGGACCCCGGGATTCGTCGCTCCCATCACGGACCTTGGCAGAGGCGACTGCAGAGGCAGAGGTCATCAGATTTTTTTGTCTGGATCTTTTCTTGGAACATGGGCTGCTCGCTCAAATGCAGCAATCCCTGGATTTAGCATGTTATATACATGTTTCTCGTGTCTGGAAGATCGAAGACCCCTTCGTTTCATGCGCAAGGCAGCCAAGTGTTGGCCGAAAGGCGAGCTACGGGTCCTGTGACCCCGGAAGGGGTCCACTGACCTGAGTGTGCCGAAAAGCTGCGTGGTCCTTCCTCAGCCATCCGGATCATCCTCTTCGCTCCTTCTGCGCCCTGCCCACCTATCTGACCAACGCCATGACCGAGATTCGCGGAACCAATGGCATGCTGAGCCAGGCTGAGCAGGGCATGAAGCTCTTCGAGTCCCAGGTGAGAGCGTCGCTGCGTAGCTTTCGAGTCGAAGCCGCGGCGACGGACGTTTCGGGGGAAACGTGTTTAATTCAGCGTCGCGTTTGCCGCATGGCCAAGCAAAGGAGGGCTCAGAGGCGGAGAAGGCAAGGATTCGACCCTCCAAGCACTCATATCTCAGATATGCCCAGAATCCAAGGATTTCCAAGGTGAACTTGTGCCATTGATGTTAAGCGCAGGATCTTTATGGGCCTGCTTCTTGGCTCACAGATCTTCCATATATCCGTACTGCTTGGGGGGACACCTGTGTGACACATGCCAACCACATGCGACCGGGCGACCAGTGAGGCGACCTGATCCCGGTCCGGGCCGCGCCGTCCGCGACGTCCGCTCAGATGGGCACCGCTGCGGAGTATGACAAGCAAGCTGCTGAGCAGTACAAAGTCCAGGTCGAGTTGAAGATTGCGGACTTGGACTCCCAGGCGGTTCTTGGACAGATCAAGTCGATGTGATGGTTTGTGAATGTTGGTGACTGATGACTGATAGAGTGTGGGCAGGTTGAGGAAGGTCCAATGACTAGCGAGTTTGTTTTTCTTGACATTGAAGGGACAAGACCAATGAATGGAATGGACTTGTAAGTCATTACAGGGATGGAGCCGATAGTTTGAGAGGCTGGACCATGAATATATTGCCGCATGCCGCATGCCAGTCAGTGTTCCGCCTCAGATGATGTCCGTCTCAGCCACGACTACGGATGCTCAACCTATACTAAACTTAGGTTGCCACCAGTGATGGCAACGTTTTTCGTCCTTCAACTGCATAAGTGTTTCAATGTCTTTTTAGAACTCCGGCGCCGGCATCCTCCAAGCCTTCCCCCCTGCCCTTCCACCGAGCCAGTCGTACATCGTCTGCACAAATTGTCCACCTGTCGTCTCTCATGAGAGGCAGCGATGCTCACTGGAAAGGACAACAAAAAGGAGCGTGCGGCGAAGGCGGGCGAACTCAGGAGTTGCGAAGGCGAAGGCGAAGGCCACCCCGGGTTGTGGGTCAGAGATGGTCAGAGTGATGCATTCGAGTAAACCGAACACACGAAAGGTCGGAGGGGTAGTGAGCTTTTATCTGCTCTGGTGCCGAGCAGTGGCACCAATCCCTTCGTACCCAGTCAGTGGATAGCTTTCTACTGTTTATTGGTTGATTGGTTTCCCCACTCAAAACCGACCGGAAAAGGGTGAACTTGATGGATTTGATGGCTCATGATCCATCGCGTCGCGTCGCGCTTTCTTTATGGCAGGGGAAGGAAGTGGCCGAACTGAAGAGTGAGCAACGACGCTTGGCCGCGACCAGCGCGGTGACTACTTGATCTCTCTACAACGCTTGGGTACCTGCTGATCCGGAACAGCGACGGGAAGAAACGGACCAGGACCAACATCGGATCTTGACCCTCAAAGAGCTTCCAGAACTGGGTGTTTGCTCATAGGGGTTGGGGTGGGGACATAGGGAGAAGGAGGACTTTAGCCATAGAACATGTGGCCGTTCAGCAGCCATAGGTTGTTGGTTTCAATTCATTGTCAGAGGTTGTTTGTGCTCATAGGTTGACCGGACGAGGAGGGCGGCAGCGGCGGCAGCGTCACATCTTGAGGTTATGTGGATGCATGCAAAATTGTGAAGGGCCTTGAACCAAAGTTTGGGAACTTCACGACCAAAGAGGCTGTGCTGCCTGATGCGCCGACGAAGCAAGAAGAGGAGGAGGTCAAAGTCGTTCAGACCAAGAAGGATCCCAAGAAGGAGACAACCTGCTTTTCCAATTTTTGCATACGTTCATCTTATGACTCCCAAAGAGGTCACACACTCCCTGCGCTGCATTGCTAGATATTCTGACCAGCTCTGACCAGGCACACCCTTTTCACAGTTCAAAATGAAATCATGCGCAGCTTCAGGGAGAGCTGCTTCAAGACCAGAGCATGTAACATGCTTCTCCCTGTTGTGTTCATGACTCAGGAGTGTCTTGGTGTTTCTTCCGGTTCCTCCGGTTCCTGATGTTTCTTTGGGCCATCCGGACCGTGTCCTTGACGCGCCCTTTACGGTCCCCGCGCTCGATGCAGGGAGTGCACGGCGTCCGATGTCGGTGGTCGACCAAGAACATGAACACCACAATGGAGAGCACCAATTCTTCCAACATGACCTCATTACGGGGTAGACTCCCAAGAAAAACGACAGCGTTCCGCTTAAGTCGCTTTCGTTTTATCCTTTTGTTCGTTGTGGTCTCCTTTTCTCGATCAGGAGAAGAAGGAGACAGCTGGCCTAAGCCCTGCAGAGACCAAAGAACTGGAGAATCTCAAGTCGCCTTGCTGCGGTACAGAAGAATACACATGATGCATCCACTTGTTTCAGTGAAATGGTGCGGCAGACTAGTAACAAGTGCATTACTATTGGATACTATTAGTATCTATTAGTAATTAGTAGTTTCTTGTTGCTACTCGAATAAATACACGGAAGCACCAGTACTTGCACCTAATCCTCCACGGCTCCAAACCCACCCGACTCACTCCAAACATTTTCGGAGGTAGTTGGAGCTGTATACGGATGACTCCAGCTGTGGAAGGTTGATCTCCTGTAGGTCGGCCATTCTGTTCATTTTCTTCGGTCAACTAAGATGCATGCAATGGCAATTCATTGGTGCAAGGTCGCCACGGACGGTCATTGGCTTCTTTGGTGAGATGCAACAATGGTCAAGGTCCTCCGGTTTGGACTCACCCACAGCTATATATTTATATACAGTACTGTATATATATATATACACATTATGCATGATATATATATATGTATATGTTTGGTTAAGGGAACCAATTCTTGACCAACCTTCCACCGAACGCCCCATGGACAACGGGGGGAAACCTGCCGATGGATCCTAGCAGGAGCGGAAGTTACGAGGCAGGTCGACCGACGCCGACACCGACCGAGGCAGCAGATCATTGAGAGAAAGGCTCTCTTGAAGGAGCTGCAAGGCTTGAGCGGCGGTCAACAAAACAAGGATGAGGAGCAGGAGTTACATGTTTCAAGGTCAATTTTGTGTCAATCCATGGTCAATTCATGTTTAAGAGCAAGAACACGTGTTTTAAGCACTATTGAAGGATATCTTAAGGAGGATTTTGATGCTTGATTACTGTAGGTTTTGCTGCTACACTGAGTCTGCAACCATCTAGGGCCTAGGGCAGCAGTGGTCTTGTGCAGTACCTGTCAGTACATCCCACCCTGTGTGTCAGAACAGCTTGGGTCAGTGGCGAACAAGTTCTTTTTTCTTTGATATGGACGGCTGCTGCACACTGTCCGTTGCGGGTTTGTCCAGAAAGCCAGGAGGTGGTGAAGATGGTGGCACGTATGAACGAGCTTAAGGAGAAGCAGGATCCTGGCAGCACTAAGAAGGAGAAAGAAGGCAAGAAGGCCCCGCTGCGGAGGTCGCGCACCGAATCGAGTGCGGGGGTCGGACGGGCTTGGCGTCCAAACACGGCCGAAGTGTGGGCACCATCAATAGAGGTTTTTCGTACGGATGCAGCAACTTGAGTTGAAATGGTGATTTACCAAGATGCCTCTTTTGATGTTTCTAAGGGCCGTAGATACTAGATGACTTGGAAGATCGGAAGGTTTTCCCTAAAGTGTCTTCAATTTCCCTTTCTGCAGTGCACAGGGATTGCCTGGTGTGTTCGTGTTGGGGTTGCCACTGGAGCAGAAAAAAAAAGCACCGGACGTTCACGTGCTCCACCCGGTCTGCAGGACAAGAAGACCCCTCTTAGCGCAGAGGAGCTAAAGGAGTTTGGACAGCTGCAAGGTAGGGCGGACGCGGCCGACTAGCGGAGCCTAGCAGCTAGCAGAGTTGCGGACGAAGTGGATGAACATCCGGATCCTAGGATTCTTATCTGGGATCCAGCCTTGAGATATCAACAAGGCATTTAGAGGCCTTTAGGGAATTGGGGGATGACCACACTCATGCTTTCTGTGGTCTACAGTGATGGACATGTGCCATGGACATGGTCTGGGAGCGAATACATGGCAGCCTGGGGGATCAACCGTTTTTCCTCAACACTATGACGTGATTTTTGCGGGTCTACCCCAAGGGCTGGCTGAACGCCCAGTCCAGGTCCTACGAAAGGGACGATCGGCCGCACCAGAATCTGCCTGAAATGGAATTGTTTGGAATCCGGAACAAGGGAGACCCTACAGATTGACAGGTGGGAAGAGCAAGAGTAGAGCCAAAAACAGCAAAAAGCCATTGGCAAGGAGGCTCTCCAGTCTAATATACACAAAAATTAGGTCTTCTTTGAAACCACTAGACAAGCTAGTTACATAATATAGACGCACACTCTTTGTACTCCTTGTAGCAGAATGAGCAGCTTAGTGGCTACAGTGACTTGCAACCCAGATGACCCACTGGCCAGCAAATTGACCGGCGGTGCCTTCACATTGATGTCGTGTGTGTTTTTTTCCTTGTTTTCTGCAGCACTTTTTGTGTGGATAGGAAGCATGGCCATGGGGAACTGGTTGCTTTCCTTGCAGACACAATTGCAGGTGAGATTGAGATCTACAAAGCAAAGTTGCGAACGGAGTTCGGCTACAGCAACAAGGACATGTGGTGCCCGACAAGTTTTGTTGTTGCTTTATTTAATAGTTTGTATGGGTTTGGAACTGGTCCCAGAAAGTACAATCGACTATGGCCCAATATGGCACAAGCATTTGACTTGCTGTTTTCACGTTATTTCCACTGTTCTAAAGGAAGCTGGATGAATAATTCTCCTCCCACTCCCACCAACATAGAGACCGATTTTGCATTGATGAGCATCCTTTGACCAACTGTGCTATCGCTGATCTTACCTTAACTGTACACCTGCGACCTGCCACAGACTTGGGAACCTGAAAAAACAAACGAGTTCCACGAGGACTGAGAACCTGCCCGCTTTCAGAACTCTTTTTGCTGGTAGTGTCCCACAAAATCCAGACTACGGAGGTTCCTTTTTGGATCGTTTACAAGAGCTGAACCACATGTGTATATATCCACAAGGAATTCATTAATAATATATCCATATATGTATATATCCCTGACGATCCATGACCACACATAGGTCACACAAATAGAAATGATCTCAGGATATGCATACGTTTCTATTGATCGTGTTATTTGAAGACGTTGTCGAATCACAGGTTGGGGTACCTGAAATGTATATACAATTCCAGTATCATTGTCGGAGGATAAGACCATGAAATCCCAAGAACCAAGCATACCAGGGCGTGACGAACCGTGACAGACCGTGATTGGTCTATTGATGAGATCATTGTCGGACTCCAGCGTGACAACCCGTGACGAATTTGAATTTGGGATCGTTGGTTTTGTGGTTTTTGGGTTCTGTGGTTTTGTGGTTTTCGGGTCTGGTATGATCTCTTTTTTTGAGGTCGGACCTCACAGGGTGAGGTCGGAGAGATCCAGAAGACACAACCCAAATGTTAGCATATAGAGCTAACTTTCGATCCTCAGGGTATATATATATATATTCAATTGAGATCTGTAAAAGAGATGGATAACCACAGACCTTTAATGACTCTCCCAGAGGCTCTCAGACCCTCATAGGAGGGGTTTGGGGGTCTCAAATCCCAAGCTTTTCAGGGGCCAAGGGCTGTGTGGAGCTTGTGGGCTTGGCAGTGTCACGCTCTTGCTGCTTTTTTTTGTTTCTTTTTGCCCACGAAAACTTGCGTGCACGAGGACATCAAGGCAGATCCCGATTTGAGGGACATGGAAACCCGCCTGGCAGCTTTCCAAAAGCGGAGCTGAGATCCAAAACCGGGTCGACCTCTTTTGGCGGAGTAGATTCGGCCAGCACAGAGGTTCGCATGTTTTTCGCAGGTGGCTGTCGAGGAAGACAGCCCTTTTTCGGTTTCAGCATCAATGACTGGGACAAGGTCAGGTGACAAGGACTGTGTCCATTGGATACGGGCGGTGAATCAACAAGGATCCTAAATAGACATACATATACCCTCCCACAATTTGGTGCATTTTGGTGGATCTAGAGTCAGGAAGCACAGAAGTTTAGATATGTTTAGACGTTGTTTGGGCGAACAAATCATTATATAAAAGAAACTCAATCAGGGTGTCAGGTTCTTGACGTCTTACATCATGTTAGGGGAAACATACTCCATGACCATGTATATATACACTCATATCCTGACTATGCATCCGGGGTAGAATAGGTCTTCACCCGTCATTATAGTTGTTTGCCTCACGTGCTGGCTGGCAGATTTCAACTTTATCAAGTGCTCGTTGGATCTTTCTCGAGCTGTTTCTGTTCCATGCCTTTGAAATATGGCAAGAGCTGACCGATGTAAACGATGTAAACGATGGCAGACCGCAGACCGCATGTCTGGGCGTGCAGCTTTCTTCTCAAGAGGTGTTTTCATTAGCTGAAGCTTGGGACACCATACATCACCTCTTTGGAACTGTGATGACGTTCCAATCTTAATTCAATCGCTGAAATCTTGATGACACTTCGGGCAAGTTCTGAGAGCACTGGATTTGATCTCTAACTTTGGCCACCCCCTGACACCATCTTATCCACCCTGGCTCACCCATATCCGAAGACGGACAGTTTGTTGTCACACCCATCCCTTGCATCTCCCCATCCACCCCCCAAAAACAAATCGAACAAAACACAAACAGGCCACAAATCCAAAGTCATTTGTGGTCATAGACAGTTTTTCATGAACCATCCATTTGGATGCCGAACCCTCGCCGAACCTCGGCCGGACGCCGCTTGGATGCCGAACCTTAGGTCCCGAGATGTGAAGCATCCCTACGCGGATCCTTACAACGCCCGGCTCCCCCAGCCGCCGTGAACGGGATCCCGGCCGTACATTGGGACCAGGCCTACAGACAGGTCCAGGTATAGGTACGATCAACCTGTACAGATGTGTTTTTCTGATTTTATGTCGGATGTTGGAAGACGACTTCGATGGTGACTGTCAAGTAAACACGCATGGAAGTGGACATAGTGGACATGGTCCATTCTTTGGTAGAGGGAAACGTTATGGGTGCTCATGGGGGTCATTGTCCACTTCGTCATACCTTGGTGGCGCTCCCCGACCGGGTGACTCTCGTGGGAGCGCGGCCAGATGTTTTGTGCGGCATACTGTAGGTGTCCACATGCCCACAAATCGACTGGAAGCTGGCTCACTATGTTTGGGAGACTTGATCACTTTTAGGCTGTTGTTGATCAGCAGAAATATCTAGGACTTAGGAGGGAACTGGTGGCCACGTTACTTATATACTATTACAGTTGCAGTGCTTCAGTCACTGTTACATGTGTCACGAAAGGCTGCTATATGATTTCATTGCTTCCAATGCTTTTTGCTGCCTGGAATCGGGCGATCGCAAGCGGGTCGGTGTCTTCCTTGCGCCACTCGCTTTCCAGGTGGTCCATGTGCCTGGACCAGGTGCGCCGAACTCGTCGCGCCAGTGGGCCGCACGGGTGGCCGCTTCGCTTGGGCACCAGAAACCGTTGGGGGATGGAACAAAGAAGAAGGTATCGGCTATCACTGCCAAGGTCATCCAGGTAAATAGCAACGTCCACTGAACGTACGCTTAGGTTCACTTTGGAAATGATTGATTATACCCTGTTTATGATTCTGTTTGTTCGATCTGGAAGGGCGATCTGAGATTCAATTCAGAATAGATTCTGAGTGGATTGAGTGGATACTCACAAATGTGCAGATCAGTGAGATCAGCAGTTCCAGCTGATCTCGAGTGGCTCAGTGCATCGCTGCTGCCCTACTGCGTCCGCGTCAGGACATTACACCGATGGTGCCAGTGTCAAGGACGTGTGGAGACGGTTTGTGGACGGTCCGATTATGGGACGACTGACGACTCCAAGAAAAGCCACCTCAGTAAGTCTATAATGGGACATAATAGGTATATATTCCACCAGATTTGGGATAAATTGAATCTCCACATGATGGCATGGTCATCCAGGTAGGTCCTGGTAGATGATTGGTTGCTCATGGTTGCTCCACATTGGAAAATTTGTGGAGATTTGGTACAACATCCAAGCAAGTCTGGCCGTTGTCAGTACTTTGCAAGTTTGGACCAGTCTTCAGGACACGCAGGAGAGAGAGAAGGTCGTGCCTGAGAAGCGGAAGAAGCTCTATGGGGTTGGGGGAACCCAACACAGTAGCGATTGGGCAACCCCTAGTTTTAGGGTCAGACAATGCATCAGGTTTAGAAGAGTTACCTAATGCATGACAAGTCCATACAAGTCCCAGTACTTCAACTTGATGCCCCAAATGAACCACGACATACTACAACACCATACCACAACACCATTGTTTTACTCGTCACTTTGTTTGAGAAACAGACAAGTTTGAGCAGTTTCTTTGGTGTGATTGTGCCCACGTCAAAGCCTCCTCTGGTGAAACCCTGAAGCTGAACCAAACCGTCCCTGAGTCGATGACTTGTCGCAGCAGGGATTGACGAAGGGCCGCCATGAAGCATGCGCGTGTGTGTGTGTGTGTGTGTGTGTGTGTGTGTGTGTGTGTGTGTGTG